GGGTCCCTCTATCAACCCCCTTACTGAGCTCAATTCTTCCCATACAAGTCTCCTTTCCTTGTAACAATTAGGAGCATACACTCCAGATATATGGCAGCTAAAATTCTGGGTTTGTGATTCAAATTTACAAGTAATGGTGTAAGAACCAATTTCCAAGACCTCCCCCATCCATGCCCTCGCATCCCACATCAATAAGATACCTCCTCTTGTTCCACTTGCTTTTAGACAGGCATGTCTAATCCACCTGCCTCCCCAAATCTGTTTTACCATCTCTGAAATATCCCCTTCAATTTTTGTTTCTTGGAGACACACTATATCTGCTCTCCATCCAGACAACAAACTATGTACAACCCTTCTCTTCTCCCTGTCGTTTAATCCCCTAACATTCCATGATATTAGCTTAAACTTCATCATGTATTGAAAATTGTGTTCCTCCCCTTATTCCTACTTCCAGAACTTTTAAATTTTACATCAAAGGCTACAAGACTTTTAAGTTCTTGTGCACCCTTGATCTTGAGTTTCTTAACTTCTGTATCCTGCTCCATTCTCCTGACTTGTCTGCAACTGTCTATTTGTAGTAGTAACTCTGTTGCCTCCTCTTCATGCCCTTGGAAATCGATCCCAAAGATTTTCCCCAGTTTTATCAAGTTCTGTTGTACCCATGTTGAATTCGCTTTGTCTACATCTTGAGCCCTTTGTTGTTGCTGCACCATAATTGGTACAGGTTCCTCCACCTCCCAATTAACTATTTCTGTGTTTGAGCTTTGTATTGCTAGCCCAGTCTCCCCTGACTTTGTAATTTCTCTATCCTCTCCCCTATCTGTGGAGTTAGGTTCTTCCTCTCCCGTTATCATCAAATCTCCCCTGATTTCTTCCTCCAGCAGCTCTGTCACGACTTTTGTGTTCATGTTCTGCTTTCCTTGGCCTGAATTGAACACGTGCAAGGCTGTTATGTCACCAGCCAATTTATGGGTTTCTGTGTAGCCGATCTTTGTCCCTTGTAAATCATTAAAGATGACATGTGCTGCAAAATCAGGGCCATTGGGCCATTTAGAATTGTTATTCTTCTTGGGCTTTCCTGATGGGCCCAGTTCAGCCCTCTCATTTAAAAAACTCACATGCCTCTCACGTGCTCCATTCCCCATTGTCTTTCTAGCTGTCGAAGTACAGCCCACGTGCTTCGATGTACTAAAATCCCTAAAAGGATGGGATTTTGGTACTATGTCACAGATATTTACGCCATCAGACCTCTGGATAAACCTATTCCCTGGGCAAAAGACCTCATCTTCCCCGGCGACTATGCCTCCACTTTCCGGCCTTATTTCGAATCTGGGTTTGCTTTCTGCCCAAATTGGAAAAAAATATGTGATTCCATCACAAGCAACAGAGACCTCTTTCGGAAGGTTTCTCCCGTTGTTTTTCACCAGAATCCTTGCCCATCCTTGCCCACTTCAGGTGGTTTTTTAGCTCAGTTTCTTCTTCTGTCTCAATCCAACCTCCACACAGATCCCCAATTTCTTGGAAGACCTTCCTAGACCACAAATGCAATGGAATCCCCACTACTCTAATCCAAGTTTCACGCACAGTTGACGGGCTAGGAGTGCACCCTGTTGTTGGACTCCACCAATCTAGATGAAATATGCTACTCTTCCACCTCCATTGGCCTTGGATGATCAATTCCGCCATGTATCTATTGGGGAATTCGAAAAGGAACATTTCGCTGTTCAATTCATATATGTTGACTCCAAAGACCTTTTTCCAGTTTGTTGAGGACCAGCTCCTGATATCCGCCAGAGTTGGTTTCTCCTTCTTTCCTGCAGTGCAATATCCTATAAGACATCTCTTGAGGAGATCTTCCTCCTTAATATTCACTGGCTTAGTAATCAGAATGCTTCCTTTCTTGGTGTTCATCTCGGCTCTTCTTAAATTACTGCTCCCCCATTTACTCTGTTGGACAGCCTCAGCATAAGAGTATTCTTCCTCCGTCACCCTTGAGAAAGAATGTTCCTTCTCTCTTTGATGACATTTAATGAATCTCTCAATCTTTAATGCAATATCCACCCACCCTGCATTTAATGCAAGTTCCGGTATGATTAAGCCCGACCTTCCACCACTATTTAAGGTTATCACGCTCATAAATTTCCCATATTCATTTTGCTTCTTAGTACAAAAAAGCTCTGCCTCTCTATCTGCTAGTTTCCATCTTCTCGTCTCCTTTTTATGCTCCTTTGAAGCCTCTCTCAGGCAGAAACATATCCATTCCATAGCTTTCTTGCTCATAACTGACCTCGTCATCTTCTTTCTACTTCTTTCAACCCATTCATACCATTCAGACTTGCTCGAGTTCCATCTAGTGATGTCAAATGACTTAAACCCAGCAATTATCACATATTGTTTAGGTGATTTTGTTGCAAGCTGAGTTTCGGGTCTGGGAAGCATTTTCCTTGAAAATATATATTTCTAGTCTTTTTTAAGTCTCCTTGGTGTGAGGAGGTGCAACTCAGCTGTTTTATTACTCTTTACCAAAATATCAAATAATTCCTACATATGAAAAAGAAATTCAATTTATCTTAATTTTAAGGCTATGTTGTCAAAAAAAAATTAGCGTAAAGAAGTGTTGCAGACCTAGAATAACTAGGTAAAGGTGTTATCTTTTAACAACATTAATTTTTTGATGAAGTGATTATGTGGTTTAACATGGATTAGAGCAGGTAGACTTTTTGTATTTGAGTCTCACCCATGCCTGTTAACTAATATTTTCATGTGCTTGGTCAACGCAAAGAATCAGGCTCGCGGGTGAGGGAGCAATGAGCATGTTGCAGATAAATTAAATATAAGTATTTCAGCTCTTCACTCTTCTGGCTGGTTGTACCTGCTGTAATACTAATTGAAACAGCCTTGGTCAGCCACTAGTCAAGACAACATATTAAGTTTTTCCTTTCTCATCCATAAGTATAATTCCACATGCTAGTACCAGAGAACTTAAAGCTTTATAAACGACTTGAACGAGCCATATGTAATCCGATTGGAGATGGATGTCACAGGCACTATCTCCTTTCTCAATTGATGTAACTATAAACATATCTGCTGGTTCTGATAATAGGATGTCAAATCCAAAATGCCCATAAAAAAAATAGGATGTCAAATCCAAAATCAATCCGTCCTCTTCTCAGCACTTTACAATATGAAAATGACTTTCTGATGGCCATGAACAGGAAAAGACTCGGATCAAAGATGGGGAGCTTGTGCTTACTTCAACTAAGACTAGAAAACAAGAGTTAAAATCTGCTCTCTATTGATATTCTTTCTTGGTTTCTTTTGTTTGTCCTTTACCATGCAATAATACTATCCCGCTCTTTTTTTCTAGGAATAATTTTGAAGATGTTTTGGCCAAAAAGCAGAAAGTGCTTGGGAAATTTCAGGTATTATTGTGTATATTTTCCTACAAAGGTAGTACTATATATACCCAAAAAGGAGGAGGAGATTTGCTATATAAAAAATCTCTAATTAGATTCTGTTCGGCTGGTGCTTTTATTCAATGTTGATCTAACTCCTAAAGGTAGAACAAGAACAATGAACCACATATCAGTACAGTTGGATACAGTGTTATTTTCAGATATCAACCGTTGAGTGTTTTTGTGTCGTCTTTAATTGCCTGTGATGCTTGTTGAGCAAAACAAAATAACCACTTCTGCTGGTGATGAAACAGGAAATAATTAATGCTGCTTCATATGCTCCGCTGCCACCTTCTGATGGGCTTGTAAAAAAGATTTCCAAGTTGTAAGATCTCTTCACCATTTTCTTCTCTTCAGTTCCCTTTTTGCCACTCTTTTGTATCCGGAATCTAGAAACAATTCTTACTATTTCAGGGCTGTTATGAGGAAGGAAAATAATTTTGCATGAGAAGCAAGTCTGTGATATAAAAAGAAAGCTCGACGGATGATGGGTTTGTGAAATCAAAGTTTACTGAAGAAACTTGGTTTGTAGTTTCTGCTGTTGATTATAATTCAAATACGTGGCTGAAAGGTTCCATGTGCTAGACAACAGTGCACATGTTTTTTGGTTCTTTTTATCCACAACTGACTCTATGAAAGTTTCAAAGACGTTGTCGTGTATTAGCCTCTAGCATTTTTCAGATCATATGGGTTGACAGATTACACAGTTCTTTTGAATAATCTTCACATACTATGTAGTTTTATTTTGTGTCTAGCGCGTCCAAATTATGTGCCCTAAACATGGACGCTAGTATGTCAACACGACGAAATTCTGAAAAGGTTAGACAAGATGAAGTTAAAGTTGCTGCAAAATAGTTCTTATTTCCTTCTTTCATTGAAGGTTTTAGAATTGATTGGCTGTCATTATCCACCATATTCATCATTTATTCTTTTATTAGAGTGATAAGTTGGAGTTAAAATGCTCTTTACTCCATTTTCAGGTCTCGAACCTGAGATCTCATTTTAAGGATGGAGACATATTCTGCAGCCCCGCCACAACCTTTAGTGGTGTTGATACTACTTCGCAAATTACAACAGTGGCTTGTTGGCAGTCACACAGAGTTAGCAAGAGTAAGTTAAATGCTCTTTGTTGATCAACCATATCATGAACACTGCCTATAGATGTTAAAAGTGTCTGTGTGAGAGTCATTTAAAAACTTAAGCTGTTAGATGAAATGGTCATAGAGTTTAACGTGACATCAGAATAGGCAGATGTATTGAGAGAATTCGTATCTACATTCTCTGTTTTGCTGACTTCTAGAAACCTATTCGCTTTTTCTTGTCCTGCATAATATTTTGACCTATTTTCAACCCGCCTCACTCTTTATTCGTGCAACTCTCACCTCAGACCTGTTCCGCCCTGCTTAAGTTTTTCTTTTATTTCCTATCCTCTAAGAAAAAAAAATGCAACCTTTCATGGCACATCAATTCAATCTTCTACTTTTCTTTTTGTTTCAAATGCTATCAAACAATATACAACTCAATGCCAACAAAATCACACCAGCATAAACCCAACTGGCAAACCAAATATTCAACTTTGTGATGACTAATGTACATAACCCAAAAATGCCCAAAAAAAGAAAAAGAAATCTAACAAACAAATACAAAAGAATTCCACTATGTTTTTTTTTTCAATCTGACCATGTCTTGGTGATAGAGTTGCTCGATATCTGTAGATAACAGGTACTTGAAGAATTAGTCGAGGTTTAGATAGTTCACCTAAATTCACTTCCGAATCACAAACTCTTCACCAGATTCTCTATCAAACCTTCTAATCCATTTCTTTTCCATCTTCCCACCGTAGACACTCTTTCCGGTGGCGACAGCCCCTACATGAGCAATATCTAATCCTTTTCCGACCGGTAAAAAAACCGACCGAACGATTTTTGATTTTTCATCAAGAACACTCCTCCATCTGAAATCTGAAACAGCTCTCGAACTCACATTTTTACATACCAAAACTGCTCCCCTGTTTCCTAATTTAACCACCTTTAAAATCGTCGAAAAATCATTTCTTTCACAATCCACAACCAGAAAATCGATCCCCGTTAATGACTCCAATGTTTCTTCCGCCTCATCGACGACTATTTCCGGTGACATTCCGGTGATTTTCTCCACAATTGATTTATACTCTGTTTTTGTATCGTCGTTTGGGACTATGCAAATATGCCTACCACCTGTTTGATGAATTGCGTTAGAGAGGCCAATGCTGGTTGATGTAGCCCCACCTCGAGACCATGTCTCTACGATCATTTGCGCGTTCCATCCTGCAGCCATGGCTGATATTAACTCTGCTTCTGTGGATTCTTGCAATAACCCGCACTGCAAAATGATTGAAAAATGAGCGATGTACAGATTCATAATAGCCATATAAAAATTATTGTCCTTATTTGAATTAAGACATGAATGACTCAAAACCTAAATGAAATCTCAAACGTGTAGATACATGTATAACATTTTTTAAGAACTCATTAACTCTAAATTCGAAACAAAAAAACGAAAAATGATAAGACTTACCGATTTAACAGTATCAAGATAAGCTTTAGATGCTTTTTCAGGAGACCAAACCAACTTCATCTCTCTCTGAATATCTTGTTTATGAATTTTGTTAATATCTTTACTCCAAAGTTTCAAATTATATGTTAGAACAATAAGTCTAAATAATTTATAGGAGAACAAAAAAGAAATTAAATTAATGAATTTCTAAAAGAAGTATGAAATGAAAAGGTCAGTTTTTAGAGAGTTGACATTAAATCCAACGTGGGAAGATTAGGTTTAAAATTTGTGGATTTGATTGGAATCTTTCCTTCTTTTTATATATGCCTCTAATTCTTCTTACTGTAAGATTTTATCCTAACTACGATAAGAGGTAACTCTACATATCAATTTTTTAGTAATTTAAGGTGGGATAATCTGTTACAACCCGTTAAATTGTATTTTGATAATATAAGCATAAGTGTTTTCTATTTCTATTAGTGAAATTACATGTGATATATTGTTATTGTTGTTGTTATTAAGGGATCGTTTGATTCATGTACTAGTTATGCAAAAATTGTCATTCGATGATTGCTTATAAATTAACATGCGGAGATTAATACTAGAGAATTATTATAAATTACTCACTTTAAAAAGATATTTTTATCTGTAAATAGTGGGATAAGGCATAAGTACCTCAGACTATGACCGAAATTTCAGAGATACACCTTAACTAAACTAAGGTCCTATTACCCCTAACTCATTTTTTTAAATACAATTTTATACATTTTTTGTCTTATGTGGCACACTCCGTGACTCCACACAATTGAGGCGCGAGGGAGATATCCGGAGGCCACGTAAGCCAAAAAGGTATACAAAATTACAAAAATTGGGTTCGGGGGTAATAAGACCTTAGTTTAGTTAATTTGTGTTTCTGAAATTTCGATCATAGTCTAGGGGATACTTGTACCTTTTCCCATAAATAGTTTAATCAATTTTTTCAGTATTCTATTTTGTATAAAATAATATATAAATATTTATATAAGACAATTTTAATGGCATAATACATATATTGGCCCCTAAACTTGGCTTCAAATTTTAACTTTGACCTCCAACTTTCATAATGCACAAATAGGCACTTTAACTATCCTACTTTTAAATAAATAAACACGCGATTTTCGGAGCCAAAAGCGTGAAATGCAAACGCTGCCACGTGTATTAGTGACCCACTCAATGGCTGCCAACTATTCAATGCATGTGGGCCCGTTTTCCTGTCTATTTGACACCTTTTTAATTTGCCATGCATTTATTTCAATCTCTTTTAATGGATATGGACCCTACCTCACTAATTCCATTCCCTTCTCTTTATTTTTGCCTCACAACTTCTTCCTTCACTTTCATTTTGTGGTAAATTAATATTTGAAAATGTCAATTATTCAATTTATAATTTATTTGTCTTATTTCTTTTTTTAATTTATGTGTATTCAAAGATTACATTTAAGATACTATAAATTATTAGACTTAATATTTAAAAAAATTTATTACAAATTTGAAAATTACGTAATATACACTATTAATTACAATAATTACTAATTTAAAATATTTTTTCAATCTAATAAGAGCCTACAAACACACTATACGTTATATTTAAAAGTACTATAAATCATAATTAAAATATATTTTTTT